AGATCTGGCGCTCGAGGTCTTCACCAAGGGCCACGTTCAGGGCTGCAGCATTTGGGACCTGCTGCGGGAACGGGTCCGTCTGCGGCGGCGGGCCCGTCGGCGGCGGCGGCGCCGCTGGGGGGGCCGCCAGCGGCGGCGGCGGAGGGGCCATGATGGCCGCGGCCGCTGGCGGGACTCCGACAGGCGGTGGTGGCGGGCCCTGGCCGCCGCGGGCCCCACCCGCTGGGGGGGCGCCGGCGGCGCGGGCGGGGGCGGCACGCGGGGCGGCCCCTGCACCACCCCCGCCGCCCGTGAAGCTGCCCCCCCGCAGGTTGTGGCGGCGCTCGCAGAGCGCCAGCTCCCTGCGCGCCATCTCCAGGCGCTCCCTCTTGGCCTTGTTCCGCGCCTTCTTGCAGTAGCCCGCCCACTCTGGGTCGTTCAGTCCCCAGGCGACCTGCGCGTAGAGGTCGGCCCACTTGAACTCGGCCAGGCTCTCCCAGGAGAGCCCCTCCATCAGCACATAGCGGCCCTCCCACTGTGGCTGGTGCGGAGCGCAGCGCTTGAAGACAGTGCCCACCGCCAGCGGCTCGACCTCGGGCAGGCACTTAAGGAGGCCCACCGCACTGAACACCGGCATCTCCTCCCCCGTGAGCTCGTCGTAGCGCAGCAGGGCCTTCAAGTCACGGATGTCCTCCCCGGGGTGCTCCGCGTGCATGTAGTACGCACGTGGCGGGTTCACCTCTTCCTCTATGAACTCGACGCAGACGCCGTAGGAGGTCGAGTAGCGCGCACCGCAATGGCAGCACCAGCGCTGGCCCGTCTCCCCCGCCGCCTCCTGCGCGCAGGAGAACAGCTGTGACCAGCGATCCGATCGGACCACCGAGAAGCATCCCCTGGGATTGCCCCAGGTCTTGTCGGCCGAGCACTTGTAGTACATGTCGAACGTGAAGCCCTTGCCACGATAGAACTGGTCCGCGCGGTCGCCCATGCGGCGGTAGGCCCCCTGCGCCGCGGCGCTGCCCTGGCACCCCTCCTTCCAGGCACGTTTGCGTCCCAGGCGCGCGTCCGCAATCCCCGAGGCTTCCAGGAGGCCCTTCTTCAGCCTTCCCACATCCTCCTCTGCCTCCTCATTCAGCGCGTCGAGCCACTTCTGGGCCCCGCCCTGCGCCTCCGCGCCCCTCACCACGTCCTCCTTCTTCTCCAGGATGGGCCCCGGGCCTCCCAGCATGCGGGCGCGCACGGTCTCGAATTTGAGGACGCCATAGGCCCGCGCCATGCGCTTCAGCGATTTCTTGGAGAGGCCGAGCCGCAGCAGGGGCTCGATCTCCGCGACTTCTTCCACGGTCTTGACGTCGGTCAGCTGGCGCCCCTGGCCCTCAGCATCGACGTCGGGCTGGGGGTCGCTCTCTTCGTCATGGGGAGGTTCTTCCTCGAGGGGCGGGGGTGGCGCACGGGGCGGCCCCGGCACCACGCCCACCTCCCTCGCCATCGGGCGACCAACCTCCTCCGCCACTGCTTCCGTGGCTGGGGGGGCGCCCGTGCTCTCGGGGTCGATGCCCACCCCCGCGCCCTCCGTTGACCTCCGCAGGGCAAGCAAGCCTTCCTCGGAGAGCGCGAATCCCACCAGCATGTCCATGCCCTCCTTGATGTAGTCGAAGCTCGCACGGAACTTCGCCACTCGCTTGGCGGCGTGGTCGATGGAGCCTGGGCCCTTGTTCGCGCGCGCTGCGCGCGTCACGGCCTCGTGCTCGGCGATGTTCTGCGTCGCCGCCACGCAGCGCGAGCACGTGCACAGCTTGTACTGCCCCTCTTTGCCCTTCCTCAGCTCGGGGCATTGCTGATTGTACTCTTTGGCCTCCGCGTAGCGGCGCATCTCCCCACAACTGAGCTCGTCCACGTACTCCACCGCCATGATCTTCCAGTCGCCCAGCTCCGTTCACCTCCGACACCAGCCCAGGCGCTGCGGCGGGACCCAGTACGCACCCATGCAGTGGACGTAGCCCGCCTCAGCGTAGTCCTCCTCCGCCATCATCTCGGCGTCTTCGAGCCCGGCAGGTGCGCCCTCGCTCGACTGGGGGGCCTGGCCGTAGACGGCCTTGTTGCTGCGTCGGCCGTGTCGTTTGCCTCTACTACTACTACTACTACTACTACTACTACTACTACTACTACTACGGTCAGGTATCTATGTATAGCGTGTATCGTTTTCTGGGGCAGAGTTTCGACGCTAGGTTCCACGCTAAGTGAAAGCTGAAACAAATCTTGAAAACGGGAGGCGGGGTCCCCCAACTGATTGTACACATAAGCGTTCCATGAAATTCTCATCAAGCCTAGCGCTATTACGAATAGTACGAGTACGAGAACGACTACGACTACGACGACGACAACGACGAATACGACGACGACGATGGCTACTACGACGACGACCACTACTACTACTACTACTACTACTACTACTACTACTACTACTACTACTACTACTACTACTACTACTACTACTACTACTACTAAGATATGTCAGGAT